CCCTCCCTCCCCGCCTCAGCCCGGGCTTCTCAGGACGGGGCCGGGCCTGGGCCCAAGCGGCGGGCGGGCGCGAACGCTGTCGGTCGCCCTGCGTTTCTGCAGTGTCTTTTTTTTTCCCTCCTCTCTCTGTCTCTCTCTCTCTCTGTCTCTCTCTCTCTCGTGTCACATGACAACGAGCTGGGCTCAGCCTGTGAGGGGGTCGGAGGGTAGAGTTGGGGTGGGGGGGGAGGCCCGCACAGCGAGGCGTCTGGGCCTCCCCGGTGGATGGATGGATGGATGGATGGTGTGTGTGTGTGTGTGTGTGTGTGTAGACAGGGGGGAGGGTTGACCTGGAGGGAGGGGTGGGGGTGGGGGGCGAGAATCGCCTCCCACCCGGGCTCTTTCCCGCTATCTGTCTCTCTTCTCCTCCCCTCTCCTCTCTCTCTCCCCCCTCCCCCCGCCCTTCCTCCCACGATTTTGGGGAGAGGGCAGGAGGAGGGTGGGTGGGGGAAATCTTCAGTGAAACGTGTCCAAGCCAGAACACTGCCCCCCCCCCCCACTTCACCTCGGTGGGCTAGTTTCCTCTATCTTCCCCCTCCTTACTCCCCCCTCCACCCAGAGGAGGCCCAATAAAAGTTGTTTTCCCTCCTTTTCTAGGTGTGTGGGGAGCGGGTTGGGCGGGGGGGGGCGGAAAGCTGGGAAACTGGAGGGTCTGGAGTTCAGACCTCAACCCCCCTTCCCCTCCTTCTTCTGGCAAGAAGCCCCCCCCCCATACACACAGCTGGGTTGCTTCACTTTTGTGCTGTTGAAGGCACCCAGACATTTTCCGGTGTTTAGGGGATTGTTCCCCTCCCTTGCCCCCCCCCATCTACCCTAGAAATGTTACCCAGTCTCTTGCACGTTGCAGGCGTTTGTAAGTCATGGGATGGGTGCTTTTTCTTTTTGGGAAGCTTGTAAAGACAACCCCCCCCCCAAACAATGCTTGATGGTTTGTTAGGGAATTTATCTGCTGTGAAAAGTTGGTTAGTGATGGGTGCTGTTTATTTTTGACTCCTGGTGGTGTTTGGAAACCACCGTGTTTTGCCTCTGAGCAGAAAGGGTTTGCAATGAAGTTATCTTCTTAATTGACCAAAAAAAAAAAAAGTTGTGCGCTTTTTGTAACTTACTTGAATTTGAATGTGACTGTTGTACCTTGAGTTCTCAGCGTGTGTATTTTAAGGAAATTGCGAATTCTGATGGGGGAAAGAAGCACTTAATGAAACATCCGTAAGAGTGAAAATAAAAACAACTCCTCTAGTGTGTGATGTACTGTGTCCTCACATTTCTCAATGAATTCAGGCTTAAGAAAAAATTAGACCAAAGAGAAAAATGCTGAAGGAGCTGGAAATATTTTGTTGGTTTTGAGTTTTGAAATCCTAAACAGATTGTTACTTAAATAAAATTGTACAAACCTACAGGTGTTCTGCCCCCCTCCCCCATTTCCTTTAAAACCATACTTTGAGGCTTAGAAAGATGGCTTTCTCTCCTACTTGGGAGACTTGAGTCTAATTGAATCTCCAGTGTGAGGGGTAACTAGGAACAACTGGGTAACACCCAACACCCCATCTCCAAACCATTACCTGTACTTGGAATAAAATAACTTCATTTAAACGAAGTGATCTACCAGTGGTCTTCTTTACAAACTGCTCTTGGGTAGAAAGAAAATTCTCTGGATTCAGTTTTGTTACTCTACAAAAGTTAAGTAAAGGATGTTTAAATAGATGTGAAATATGGAAAATAATGTCATCAGGACCACATCCTTTGAAGAGGTATACAACTAACTGTTGCTGTGAATGACTTAATGCTTTCAGGGTGTTGTGGTGTAGGGAAGGGAAAATCCTGAGCTGAAGTTACTTGAAACATCCAGTTTTGTGCTGTATGGGATTGTACTCATTAAGTTTTATTTTCCTCCTCTGTAAAATGAGGGTAATAGAGTAGTTGTTTAGCCAGATGGGTGTGTGAAAAAGTTTTTAATCCTAAAACATAACATTTATAGTTGTGATTTTTTTTTTCCTTGCTTGGTTCCATGTCAGTGTATCTTCATTATCTCAGTGCTTGCAAGGAGATATGCACTTTGAGGAAAGGTACATCCCTTTCCTTTTTAAAACAATTTTCTGTCATATCCTTATTGAAGGTAGTTTATGTGTCTTGTTTTGGTGCATAACAAGTTAATACAAATTTAGTAGATTAAAACTTATTTCAGTTTCTATAGATCAGAAGCTTGGATATGGTGCCAAAACACCAGAAATAGAGCTGTGGCCCAAGTGGTAGAGTGTTAGCCTTGAGGAAAAACAAAAAAAAACAACTCAGGAACATTGCCCAGGCCCTGAGTTCAAGCCCTAGGACTGGTACAGACAACAAAAATCCAAAACGCCAATACAAACAAAAGGACCAGAGGCATGGCTCAGGAGGTAGAGCACTTTCCCAGCATGTGCAGGTCACTGGTACTGCAGTTAGCCTGATTAGGGCAAGCCTGCTAAGATAATCTGTTTGATGAACAATTAAGGTCTTTAATTACAGATATAAAATATCTCATGCCATATAACAGCACAGAAAAGCTATCCCATTATAACTACAGATCTGTTCCACCCTCAAGGGGATTAATTATACAAGGGTCATTAGAGAGTCTTGATTATATAAGGTCATTAGAGGGTCTTCAGAATTGTACCTGCATGGGCAAGAAGTATCTTCACAAAACAATAGCCTCATTTGATCTTGCTTAATTTCTTTGCTTTTGCTGAGATGCTAGGGATTGAATTCAGTGTCCAGCACACGTCAAGCACTCAATAACTGAGTTTACATCTAGACTCCTTTATTTTTTGACATGGTCTCACTGTGTAGGTCAGCTGGCCTTGAACTTAAGATTCTTCTGGCTTAGTTTCCCTAGTCTCTAGATTGCAAGGCTAAGATTGTGCAGTTTTTGCTGTTCCTTAATGCCTGTTTTACCCCTATTGTTCATGAGATTAAAACTCGGGAAAGTTAAGGAATTTAAATACCTTAGATTGAACTCCTGTTAAGTAGCAGGCAGGCTCACAAATTCATTGCATCAGACTGTACTCTGGTATGATTATTAGTCCAACAGCATGTGAAAGAGAACTCTTCGAGTAGTTATTTGAAAGTATCAGGGTAGGTTAATTTTGGTGGCACAAAGGAGATAGCATAAGTTTGTTTATTGATGTGGTTTGACAGTCAAAGAAACGAAGGTATCTTTCCTTCCTTCCCTCTATCCCTGGAGCTTGAACCAACAGCCTCAAGCTCTTGCTCATGGCTGTTGCTCTATCTCTTGAAGTACACTTCTATTCCTGCACTAGAGCCTCTGGTCCTAACTACGGCCACACCTATAGTTAATTGGAGAGGGAACCTCCCATAAGACTTTTCTGCCAGGCTGGATTCAAGTTGAGATTTTGTATGTCTCAGCTTCCTGGGTAGCTAGTATTATAGTAATGGGCCCCTAGTGCCCAGCTAAAAAAGCAAAACTTTTCAAGAAGAGGCAGTTAGAATAGATTTAGCTAGTATATCAAACTTTAAAAATTACAAGCAAGCATTAATTTGGTGAAGAGGCCTCGTTTGTAGCTTGGAGGGTCTGGATTTAATGCCCAGTATCATCAAAAGCAACACAAATATTATTGAGAAGATAATGCTTACCTTCCTACTACAGAGATGATACTGTAGTTACTTGTAGTTTTTGTTGTTTCTGAACAAAGATAGGACTCTTTAGAATTTCAGGTGGTTCTTGCTACTGTTGATATTCTATAGGGAAAAAAGTAATAAACAGAGACTTAAAAATATGCTCTTTCATCTTATAGCATGAGTTGGTTCTTGTAGAAAGAAAGGTCTAGAGAAGGAAGGGTGAGTTTTCTGTTATTTTGATAGGTAAGAGTTCAGGATCCCAGTTTCTTACCCTAATGCTGAGAGAAGCCATCACTGAGAAATAGATGGTGCTTTTAAAGTGAGCTTAGTAAATAAGTAGGTCATA